TGCAGTTTCAGGGCCCTTAGTCTATCCTCATAGGGAAGGTTTCTGATACATGGATCATCTTTGTCATCCTCCTTTGTACATTTTCCAGAGAATTTATTCCATTCTGTAATACGGTGACCAAAACTGTGCAGCATAATCCAAATGAGGCCTAACCAAGGATGTATAGAGTTGAAGAACAACCTGAGGACTCCTATTATTTATGCTTCTTGATATGAAGCCAAGGATTCTATTAGCTTTATTGCGAACACTTATGCACTGTTGTCTTGGTTTCAGATTACTGCTAACCAGAACTCCTAAATCTTTTTCGCAATCCGTAATATTAAGAAACTACATTATTTAGTTTATATGTGGCATGGTTATTGTCCTGTCCAACATTTAGAACTTTGCATTTGTCTATATTAAACTGCATCTGCCACTTCTCCGACCACTGCATCAGTCTATTCAAATCTTCCTGGAGTGCTCGAATGTCCTCGTCAGAATGAATTCGACGGCCTATTTTGGTGTCATCGGCAAACTTGCCGATGTCGCTCTTTATGCCCTCATCTATGTCGTTTATGTAGATTGTGAACAGCAGGGGGCCCAACACTGACCCCTGTGGAACACCGCTCGTGACGCTTCCCCACTCTGATTTCTCCCCATTTATGCAAACTCTCTGCTGCCTATTTGTCAACCATGCCTCTATCCAGGAAAAAATTTCTCCTCCTATTCCATGTGCTTTAATTTTCCTCAATAGTCTCTGATGTGGGACCCTGTCAAAAGCCTTACTGAAGTCCATATACACAATATCATATTCATTACCATGATCTACCTCCTCAAATACCTTAGTGAAAAAAGTTAATAAATTCGTAAGGCAGGAACGCCCCTTTGTAAAACCATGCTGAGATTCGTTGATTAATTTATGCTTTCAAGGTGGCTACGAACTGCCTCGGCAATTATTGATTCCATAAATTTTCCCACTATGGAGGTTAGGCTTATTGGTCTATAGTTCGAAGCTAAGGACCTGTCACCTGTTTTGAAAATAGGTATCACATTTGCCATTTTCCACTTATCTGGCACCATGCCAGTTTGTAGTGATATGTTGAAAAGATTAGCCAAAGGTGTGCTAAGCTCCTCTTTACATTCCTTTAAAACCCTTGCATACAGTTCATCAGGGCCTGGGGATTTGTTAGGTTTCAATTTATCTATTTGCCTAAGGACCATGTCACTTGTGACCCTAATAGTGCACAGTTTATTATCGTCCTGTTCTACATAATTTTATCATTACTGGTATATCGCTGGTATCCTCCTGTGTAAAAACTGAGAGGAAGTATGTGTTAAAAATTCTACACATTTCCTTATCACTGTCAGTGAGCTGACCCTAGGAACTTTTGAGTGGGCCTATCTTGTCCCTGATCTTACTTCTGTATACCTGAAAGAATCCTTTGGGTTAGTCTTCGATTCTCTTGCAACTTTAACCTCATAATCTCTTTTTCGCTTTTCTAATTCCCTTTTTTTATTTCTCTCTTTAACTGAATATATCGATTTCTTAATTGGCCCTCTCCTCTTTTGATTTGCCTATATATGCCTCTCTTTTGACCAATCAGATATTTTAATCTATTGTTCATCCATTTAGGATCATTTTTGTTTGATCTGATTTCCCTATTTGGAACATAATTTGACTGAGCAGCTAGACTATGCCCTGGAAAGCATCATATCGGCAACCATCACCACCTACCTGACCCTTAGTCAGGTCATTCCAGTTCAGCCCACCTAAGTAATTTTTCAGTCCTATGAAATCAGCCAAGCGAAAGTCAGGGACGGAGACTTGATTGCCATTATTAGGGGAATTCCATAATATATTAAAAACTGAGTGATTTGTGATCACTCTCCCCAAGCTCATCATTAACCTCAAGATTATAATTAGTGTTTCCCTACTGGCAAGAACCAAGTCAAGGAGGTTATTCCCCTAGTTGGCTCTGTCACAAACTGTTTTAAAAAACAATCCTGGATCGTATCAAGAAAGTCACCCGACTCTAAATTTCCTGTCAAATTGCTCCAGTCAATCTGTCTATAGTTGAAATCACCCATTAGCACAACATTTTCGTATGTAGATGCCTTACGAATTTCGTCCCATAGAAGTTTACTGCACTCCCTATCAAGATTTGGGGCCCTGTAAATCACACCCAAAATTAGTTTATCTCGGCCCTCGAGAAGCTGTAACCAAACAGATTCAGTGGCTGACGCTTCTAATTTAATATCTTGTCTTACACAACAATTTAAATTGTCTCTGACATACATCGCTACTCCACCACCTTCCTGTTGACCCTGTCAGTGTGGAATAATTTATAGCCTTGTATGTGACATTCAGAGGGCATCTCTCTATCTTTCAGATTGAGCCAGGTCTCTGTTATAGCAATAATATCTATGTTTCCTGCACTTGCAATTAATCTTAGCTCATCTATCTTATTTCTAACACTCCTGCTATTAGTATAGTAAACCTTAAGGGAGCTAATCCCTTGCTGCCCTCTGCTGCCCCCCTTTGTTAGCTGACCTGTTCTATTGTCTTTATTTATAACTTCATGCTGAATGCCTTTTATACATTTACTGTTTCCAACCCTAGTGTTGCAACCTGCTTGTTTCCCACACACACCCATACCTCTATCTTCCATCAGTTTAAAATCATAGGCATTTCACCAATGGCCTTCTCAATCGAGTCTGCAAGTGCTACCACCCCTGCCCCAGAGAGATGTACCCCATCCCTTGCATACATATCATGTTTGCCATAAAAGTTGTTCCAGTTGTCAATGAATGGGATTGCAAGTTCCTTGCAGTATCTGTCTAGCCAGCAATTTACACCAATTGCCCTAGACAACCATTCATTTCCTACTCCCCTTCTAGGCAAGATGCTACATATGATTGGGATCCCTCCCTTAGACTTAATGAAATCTATAGCTGACCTGTACTTATCTAGCAGCTCTTCTCTCCTACCCTTCCCAATATCATTTCCACCACACTGAGACAGATAATGGGCTTGTTCCCATTACATGACATGATATTATCCAGCCTGTTGACAATGTCCCCAACACCAGCTCCAGGGAAGCACACTCTATCTCTCATCTTCTTATTCCTATTACAAAAAGCACGGTCAATATATCTTACCTGAGAGTCCCCAACCACAAGAATGCGCTTACCTTCATTAGCAGGGGCAGTAGTACCCTTACCTTCACTGGCCACTGAAGTACATTCATCCTGGAGAACAGAGAAGCGATTTCCTACCTTCAGATCTTCACTCTTAACTTTCCTTACTCTGATGCGCCTCCCATTACTGTGAACAACTCGCCACTTGCAGCAGGTGCTGGGCTGCACCTCACTGCTGGTAGCTGTTGCTACCTCCCCAACTACAGAAGTCTCATTCCCCACAACTCCAGCCACCTCACACTCTCTCCCAGACCCATTGAGGTGGACCTTCAGCCTCCTAATCTCCTCCTGGAGAAGCAAGACCTCCTCCTTCAACTCTCCAACCTCAGTTTTTAAAACACTGCAGAAGCAAGCCATGCTTTGTAACCGTCCACGCTAATCCCCAAAGCAGCTCAGGGTCTGTGACCTCACGTGACGACTGACCACTGACGACTGGTGACGACTGACCACTGACGACTGACGACTGACCACTGACGACTGAATAAGAACTAGTAAGAAAATAGAAGAAAACCCAGAGGGGTGTGTATATATATATGCTTGTAGGTGCATGTGTAGTGTGACCTAAGTTTAAGTAGAAGTAGCAAGATGTACCTGAAATCTTGCATGTTTATGAGACAAAAAAAGACACCAGCAATCCTACCATCATGTAAAACAATTACAGGCTTTCATTTTACACTCATTTGTCAGGACGGTAGTACTTCCCTGGGTGGTTGTTGTCTACCAACCTACTACCTAGGTACTTATGTGTACCTGTACCTAAATAAATTTACACACTGTGCTGGTGTGCAGGTACACATTAAAATCACTAAGTCTCTCTCTTCTCTTGGTGCCATATTAATAATAATAATCTCTTGGGTGCATTAAATGTTGTATATTACTTTAATATAGACATTTTCTTTAATCCATCTATGATATTTTTTCCAAATTATATAAACATGCTACGTAACATAAACATGATAAATACACCCCACAGTAGAATAAATTAACATAAATTTGAGATGTGGTAGCTAGACAACTTGTAGGAGGGATAGCAAGAATGATGTTTTCTCTAGTCCAACATCAGAGAAAATGTGTACACTATAATATTACTGGGGGTAACTAGAAAATTATTACTTTCATATGCCTTCACTCAGAGCATTATTTCTTCTAAAATTGGTGTTACATGAGAATGGGAGTGTTCCTCTTTATTTATTCTACTGTATCAACGTGGAGACAACTTGTACACACTGTAAAGTGTTTGCATTATGGTATAATATTCACAGACATGGGAATGAATGTGTATCAACCAAAAGCAGACATGTCTGCTTGTTTACATTACGTGTGGGTGAAGTGGTGTAAGGTGGGGTGGGCTGGGCTGCCCTGGCTGGCTACCATACTTCTCACACCTGACTTCCTACAAATAAATACGACTCACCTCTCACCCTGCATTAAGACTACAAATATTTTAAGGTAAGTAATGGGTGTACTGTTTGTGTATTTTACTTTTTATTGTGTTTTTTAATGCATAGTTCTATTACTAACTTTATATAAGTTAGTGTAAACTTGTTGTCTAGTATTTATAAGTGGACAAAATGGCATTCCACTTTAAGGTGATTTCTACTTTAAGGAGCCAAACCTGCCATGTAAGTGGGGCCCTACTGTACTTTGGGGAGCGTCAGAAAAATTGGTTGCCATGGGTCAATAAACCCAATTTAATAATCCTACATTTTCTTATGATAGAAATAAATCTGAATTTGTATCTGTATTTATATTTAAATCAGAAATGCAGCAAAATTATCTGCTTTGAAATTCAAATAATCCAGATTTCCCATTACAAAACAAACCTGCATAAGACCAAGCTCATCTTGTCCAAGACACCCATAAGTGCGCTCCTCCTTCATTTCATCTGTTTCTACATCATAATGAAGCTCTACAGCACTGAAGCAGAATGAGTTGGGCATAGCTTCACATGTACCATTGAAGTTATTAGGGTCAGGGCACAGTCCTTCACAGTAACACAGAAGACCCCAAGCTGAAAAATAATAATATGAGTGAGATGCTAAAAGGTAGGAATATAATTTTGGTGTGGATGCTGCATTTGTTCAATATATAATGGACATGAAAGAAGAGAAGGTACCTAAGGGCTAGCAAAGAGCATATATAGTTACTTTGAATAAGGAAAAATGGGAACACGAGGAAATGTTTAAGTATACATACTAGGTAAAGTGTACAGTAGAATTCTTATTATTGAAAGAGTTAGAACTCAGCAGAAAACAGGACTGCAGAGGAACAAGGATGATTTAGAAAGGCAATACGTATAGCATGAACTAATTCAGTTCTTTAGTATTCATTGTAACTCACCTAATGCTTTATTAATCTTAAGTTAATTTTAAGTTTGCCTGAAAGGCTTTTGGCATGTACACCCAATTATTATATTCCGATGAACAAACATGTATTATGCTGAAATAAAAATATTATTATTATTATTATTATTATTATTATTATTATTATTATTATTATTAACCCTTTGACTGTTTTGGTCATATATATACGTCTTATGCACCACTGTTTCGGACATATTAATACGCGTAAATTCTAGCAGCTTCAAATCAAGCAGGAGAAAGCTGGTAGGCCCCGCAGTGCATAACGAGAAAAAAACAACTGACCCTTTTTTTTAATTAAAACGCCGACTTCGAGGTGTATTTTCGTATAGTATTTGTCGTTATATTCTCGTTTTCATGGTCTCACATGATAAAATGGAAAACACATTACAGAAATAGAGATGATTTTGATTAGTTTCACAATGAAAATGACCTTGAAATTGAGCTCAAAGTAGCGGAAATGTTAGATTTTTACCAATGTTCAGGAGTAAGCAAATCACACCACATGTCCAATACACGTCAACTGGGGAGTCTAATATTCTTTCACTAGTGCACTGATATTATTTATACCATTTTTACAATAATGCAGTAGTCTGCATAACAGTAAATTTTGTATTTTTTGTATGAATAAAAAATCAAAATAGAAAGCAATAGTAATATAAAAGGGGCCTAGAGATGTGACTAATGAACAGAGGATATGTTATTTTAGTGCCAAGAATGTCTACATTGTTTATTCTGGACCCTATTTTGAAACTGGCATATTTTTTAATTTGCGTGAAATTGGCCAAATTGCCAAATTCTGACCACTTTACTGGGTAGTTCAAATCGGTAAATGGGCAGTTTCTTGTACTCAACTGATAGAAAAAATGGAGTTCTAAAGAAATAGCTATGAGTTTGATCAACTGGAACAACAGAATTGGCCAAAAACAGGGCTCAAAGTCGGCGAAATCGCTGATGCGTATATGTCACCGAGACTGCTAACTTCGTGGGAGCGTAATTCCGTGGGTTTTCGACCAAATTTCGTACTTTTGGGGTCATTACCATTGGGAAAAGATTCTCTTATCATTCCACAAGAATTTTTTTTTTTTTTCCAAAAATTTTGCGAGATAGAATGACAGTTTCAGAAAGGGGCACGTGACAGTCAAAGGGTTAAGAGATGTGATGATCATCTGTTTATATTGAAATATATAAGTGAACCATACTTAGATTAGGATAAGGAACTGATAATTACATTTATGGATTTAGAAAACACATTAATAGGGTATTTAGGAGACCAACATGGTAGCTGTTGCAAATGTATGGAATAAATAGTAGGTACTAAAAACAGTAAAAAATTTTAATGCAGAGGATAAGCCTCAGGAAAGGATATGTAGGAGAGTGTGGCATGCAAAGAGTACGTAACCTTTATTCGGCGCATGTACACACACCCTCATTTACAGACTATCTCCCCCAACCAGCGAACCAGGTTGCTAAGAGTTGATGATGGGGCCCTGTCGTTCAACTAGTGATCAGGTTCTAGCCAATAAGAAGATGGTTTTGGCAATCGCAGAGGTTATGTGGGTACCTCTCTCCTGTCTGCCCTTGTCATTCCCATTCTAGAGCTGGTTGAAGCACGGTCTGCTATCTTGTGGCTTCTATTTCTGCCTTGCTTACCGTGGAGTGCACTATACTTATCACTGTACATAGTGTACATATTGCTGTTCTAAATTGGTGAAGGATAATATAAGTCTAAACTTTTTCTGCTGTGTTTATTTTGCTCCCATTACACCCGGGATAACAGGCCATTTGGATTCCTGGGTTGTAATATGGGTAGCCTGTCTGAGAGCTGGAGCTGGACTTAGAGAAATGGTTGAGCTTAGGGTGAAGCTCGTAGCAGGAACATTGTGCGGCTTGCTGTCTGGCATTGCATTAGCTTTGCCTACGCTTTACAAATTTTGCGTGTCAGTTACTGTTATGGTCAGCCTTGCTATTGTGTGATCATTCAACAGCTCGCTACTAGCTTGTTCGGTGTGCTCGCTTCGCTACGGTCAATCTTCTAGAACAGTGTAGCTGTCTGGCATTGCTTTACAAATTTTGCGTGTCAGTTGTTACTAGCCTGTTCGGTGTGGAGAATTTTGTAGTCAGCTTTGCTTGTATGCGTATTCTGCAATCGTACTGTGCATAGCTAAGCGTGTTCTGCAAATTAACGTGTTACGTTGGGGTATACTGCATATCGAATAACTTATGCCACCTAGACGAGTCAGACGTCTGGTGTCGGCATATACTTTGCACAACCTACCTAAATTGTCCCTACAGCGTTGTTGGCAAATTGCTCATTCCATTGGCATTAAATACAAATGCACTCTTACAGCTGCGCAACTGCATTCACTGATTGCTGACAAACTTATAGAAGAAGAGATGGCACATCAGACTCCTCCCTCTACGGGAGCTAGGGCAAAAACTACTATGTTCTCGCAGGAGGAAGATGATACACCTATGGAGCAAAATGGTCAGTATAGTGCAGCTGGGTTGTCTCAAGGTGAATCAGCATCATTGGCACTTGAGCTGGCAAAAATCAATCTTGAGCAAACTAGGGAACAGAGAGCATTCGCAAGGGAAGAATTTGATAGGGAAAGAGAAAGGAGGCAGTTTTCGCATTCTGTAAATGATTTTAGTTTACAAAAAGCAGTACAGCTTGTTCCCCGCTTCAATGAGGCCGAACCAGAACAATTTTTCGAAAGCTTCGAAAATCAGGCTCGAGCCTTGAGGTGGCCGGAACAGCATTGGGCATCGTTGGTTCATACAGCATTATTGGGTAAGGCACAGGAATTTACGTCAGTATTAAATGACGCTGAATTTTCTGATTATCAAGTAGTGAAGACCACAGTGTTGGGAGCATATACATGTATCCCAGCCAAATATAGAAAGATTTTTAAGCTGGGCAGACGACAGCTTGGTCAATCCCTAGTGGACTTTGTGAAACAGCAAACCAAAGCTTTTACCAGCTGGTATAAAGCAAGTGGTGTCTCTACCTTTGAGGAGCTGGTACAGCTTATTCTGATTGATAACCTGCTGGAGTCTGTGGGACCAGAGGTTCGAGTCTTTCTGCAGGATCGTGACTTAACCACTGCATTGGAGGCACCCAGGTTGGCTGATACCTTCGAAACAAACCCGCTCCTTGCCCGAGCAGTCCCGTCTCTCTTTTCAACAGCCTGGCATGAGCAGAGATCGTCAACCTTGGGAGAAGGGAAGTGCCAGCCGGAGGGAGAACGTCTACGTCGGGCCAACTAAGTCACCTGGTGAGCCACGCTTCTCAACTTATGGTCCACCTGTGGAGAGGCAAACTACTCATGGTGCATCTCGACAACAGTATCCAGAGAAACACCAGCCAGAACGACACCATTTGCAACGTCACAGGGAGTAAAGGCAAGCCTGTCGTCTGTTTCCCTTTTGTAACAAATAGGTCATATCCGTCCCGACTGCCCCCACAAACCCCCAACCCATTGAAAATCTCTAATACCCCTAGTAACATGCCCCCTAGAGAAAGTAGAAAAAGGTATAGCCCCTTATTACTGCAAGGGGTCTTGTTTCCCTTCAGGAAAACTCAGAAACAACTGAAGTAAAGACCTTTAGAGATACTGGGCATTTTGCTCACTTGTAAGAGAAGGAATATTACCCCTTTCAGAGAACACTACCTTGAATTCCTCTGTTTTATTAGAAGCATTTGGAGGAGCTATATATTCTGCCCCTTTGCATAAAATTTATGTACAGTGCAAATATTAAAACTGGGTACTTGACTGTAGGTGTCTCAAAAGGATTCCCCATTGAAAGATGCCATGTTATTACTGGGAATAACTTTACTACTGTTAGTGCGTGTCCTGAACCTATAATGAGTAATTCTTCCCCGGGTGTTGGCCAAACTCGGGCAACTCCCAAGGGTTGTCTGGGGGAATGTTGACCTATCCTTGGACGACTCCGATCTTGGAACAGCCGTGTTGTTTTATGAGGCACACCGGGCCCGGGAGCCTCGTAAACAAGTGAACAGCCCCCCGATCAAGCCTTCCTATTCCCAGGTTGCAGGATTCCCAGATGTCTCTGTTTCCATGCCCGAGGGACTGCCCCTTCCGGGGGGAACAACGAAAGGCCCCCTTCTTAAAAATTCGCTTTTCAGGCAGCCATGGGTAAATCCTCTTTGGGTCATCCGGTCAAGTATGAAGTTAAAAACGATTATTTGATCTGTACTGAGACTGGTAAGGAGATAGAGGGCTGGCAATTGTATGACAGTAGTGGTTCCAATTTTTAGACCTCAAATATTAAATATAGCTCATAATACTTCATTAGGAGGTCACTTGGGAAATTACAAAAACCTTGTAAGAATCCACAAAAAAATTTTAAATTGGCCAAAATTAAAAAGATGTGAAGAATCATATAGGTGTTGCCGAGAATGTCAGCAAGTAGGGAAACCTGGACATTCCATTAAACCTGCACCTCTCCAACCTATACCTGCTGATGGAGAACCTTTTGCAGATTTAATTATAGATTGTGTAGGTCCACTACCTAGGTCTAAGTCTGGAAATCAATATTTATTTACGATTATGGATAAAGTAACCAGATATCCTGAAGCAATTCCCATGCGTAGTATTAATACTAAAGCGATTCTCAAAGCTTTAACCAAATTCATTTCTTGTTTTGGCATTCCT